AAAAAAAATGTTTGAAGGAAGGAGGAGAACTAGACCTTAAATAAACTTAAATATGGCTTAGCCATGGATATAAAATGAGACAATAAATTAAGAGACACTGGGTGAAAATTCAGAGCCTCTCATTTGCAGGGCATGTTTTCTGCCATTGTTGGCACCACTTGGCAAGAAGGGGGACCAACTCAACCTCTGAGTGGAGACTGCTTGTGCTGTCTGTTGGAATCCCAAGAACCTTGAGGAAGCACTGAGGACTCACTAGGATTGTGGTGACGATGTATGTTCTGTTCTGCACACTTGAGTTGTCACCTCCAGCTTGAGCATCAGTGGCTGCAGGGACAAACTTATCATCTTCATTCCAGTAGCCAATCTGTGAACAAGAAGGTGGGGCTCTAAGGCAATCCAAGATCCTCTAGACCACCCAGCCAACACCAGAGACAGCAAAGCACAGGGTCCTACCATGTAGACGATGTATTGAGCACATCGTGGCTAAACAATTGGCAGACAGAAACAAGCAGAAGCACGGCTTGCCAAGTTCCCCCAGCTCAATCTGCCCCCCAGTGAAAATCTTCATGATGGTGAGCTAAACCAGGAAACCACCCCTTTGAACAATGAAGGTGTAATAGGTTCCACAGCTAAACTCTTGTCCAATCAAGCCAGCACTTGAGGATTTTATTCCTGCAGTTACACACCTGCCCACAAACCCTTTCTTTTCCTGGGCTCACTAAGAACTGTAGTTGGAATCAGATGATTAAATGTTATATTCCTTTTACTTTTTCTTAGACTTATCTGTGTTTCTCCATCCAGATTCAACTTCTCAGGATAATTATTTTATCCTTATCTAGTTCCTGTTAACTATTATACCATAATACATGTAAATAGTGTGCAGATTAACAGATTAAAGGTTAAGTTGCCAAACATCAGTAGCTTATGAGCACCGAATTATTTTCTGCAGCCTTTCAGCAAGCGCAACCCTTACTGCATACAAGGCTCTGAGTTGAAATACTCAGCACTCTGTGTGGCAGGGCTGAGAGAGGCAGAGGGAAGCCCGCGACACTGTCTGCCCTGGAGACACCCTGGTCCACTTAGGAGGACACGAAGCACCCCCACACACAGAGGGAGTCCTGACAAGTGGGGAGGCTAATGAATTCAGGAGACTGAAGCTCAGTGTGGGGGACTGTGTAGGTTACAAGGCAGCAGGAAGAGTCAGGGCTTGAGGTCATTGGAGAAGGAAGGAAAAGGCCCACACATGTTAGATCAGGAAGAATGAGGCAAGGTATAGAGGTGGGAATTGCCCAGATACACACGTCCTGTGGGTTCTGGGGAGACAGCATTGGCCTGGGAGGACAGTGAGTCTTGCATCTAAGTGGCAGAGGATTTAAAGGCTGGATTAAGTAATGTAGACTGTGTCCTTAAGGCAACAGAGAGTCACGGGAGGTGTTGCTCTCTCCTCCCCCTCCCCTCCCTATCTCTTTCCTTCCCCTCTTCCTGGTTTCTTCCCTCCCCCTCTCCATATCTATTTAGACAGTCATGATTTTGCTTTGTGATTATTCTGCTGCTAGTAGAATGTAGAAATAAAAGGTAAAAAGTAAGAGAAAGGGAAATGTATAGGAGGAGGGTGAACAGCTCTGGCAGCTAGAGCTTGGGTCAAGCTCGAAGAAAGCGCAGAGCATGCCAACCCAGCCAGGCCCAGTGTCACTGGCACCTTGAAGTCCTCCCCAGTCCTCTAGCCTAACATTGTTCTTCCTGCAATTCCCAGTCAGTAGCAACAACAACAACTGCTAACACTGCTAGCATTCTTGCTGTCGCAGGCTGCGTGTTTCACAGTTTTAGTGCCGTCTCATTTGGCTTAGGGAGGCTGCTAACCTGTCCAAGATGGTGCCGCTGGAAAGTAGCAGAGCTCAGCCTGGAACCCTGGCCATCTGTCTCCAGCACCTGCCTTTTGTCACTGTGCTATCCTTGTGAAGAGGCTTCCAGGCCTGGTCCAGATCCTGCCAGTTACCATTTATTTACTGAATGCTCTTGGGTTTCAGGTGCTCGTCTAAGTGCTTTTTATGTTTTATTCTTTTCATCCCTTATAAGCCCACAAAATTGGCCAATTATCTTTCCCATTTCATGTGTGTAGGAAGCATGAGGTGAAGAAGTTGAGAGACTTTTCCAACATCACAAGAGACCCATGGGACCAGGGTCTGAGCCAATATCTGAGTCAAGAAGCTCGTGCAGTGCAAGCCCTACCTCTTGCATGCCAGTGTGTGCCCAGCCAAGCCGGGAGGGTTTGTGTGCGCTCCCAGTGGAGCCTGTGGTCCAGCTGCTTCATGTCCACCTCCATCTTTCTATGGTACTGAGGCCCCTTGGGGATGAGACAGAAGTACGTTCTTCCCAGAGTCCCTTTCACAGACAAGTGATCTCCAAGAGTGTGAGGAGAGAATGAACCAGACAGCTGTGACCCAGGACGGAACTGCTGAACACTGATGTTTCAAAGACAGTTCAGAGGACTGAAAGCGGGGGCTTGGGGGGCTGTCTCTCAGGACCCTTGTTCCCATTTACCTCTGGGCAAGTGTGCTGTGATGTTGCCTGTGTGTGAAGCAGCTAGTCCACATGGAAGGAGGCATTTCTTTCTGAAGACACAAGAACTGGATACTTAGACTTCCAGAATGTCGTCATTACTGACAGAGGCCTGAAAAAGCGCTCTGTCCCATGCCTTCATTTTACACAGGGGGAACTGGCTCAGAGATCACAGAGCAGCGGCCGAAGCAGTGCTCTAGAGGACCCTGGGGGACCTGAGGGGACACTGCACCTCCTTCTTGGGAGGGAGGGAGGGCTCAGGAAAGAGGAGGGGATCTCTGGGCTCCTCCTTGCAGCTCCAGCACTCAGCTATGCTTTTAACCTATTTCCTACGTTGGGATTTCCCCTAAGAGTTGCTTTATACAAGGACTCTTCTGGTCAAATAATAAATGTCTAAAACAACTGCGGTAGTATACTATGCCGTGTGTGTGTGTGTGTGTGTGTGTGTGTGTGTGTGTGTGTGTGTGTTGGTATTTAAAAAATTCCCCAAGGTATTTTTCACACTCGACTTTTTTGATTCTTACATGGTACAAAGAGCACAGCTAGGCTTGGGATTATTTTCTGTTTTACACATAAAAAAATGTAGGCTTAGAGTGATTAAGTGACTTAATTTATAATCTTCAACTATATAGCAGGCAATGGTAGGACTAGAACCCAAATCTCATATAGCACAAAGGTAAGACTGTTTGATAAAATATACATTTGTGACCACAGCTGCCAAATATGATTATTCCCCCCCACAGATGATTTTGAAGAGTTTTTATTCATTTCTTTCCACTTTCCTTCTCTCTTCTTTCTCCATCTTCCTTTCTTCTTCCCTTTTTCAAAATTAATCTACAAATTCATCTGTTCTTACTTAAACTATCAAATCCTTAGACGATAGGAAGTCACTCCCTTTGATTAGCAAATAATTCTTCTGCAATGTACAATGCTTTAAGAATTATTTTTTCATGGGCTGGTGAGATGGCTCAGTGGTCTAAAGCACCTACTTGGAACAAGCTTAGCAAAGCGCAGGGATCACGGTTGGATCCCCAGCACCACATGCCAGCCAGCCCTGCCCCCTGGTGGGCTGAGCTGGCCCCCCCCCACACAAATAAAATTAAAAAAAAAGAGAATTATTTTTTCTTGGAAAGGGGCTCAGTGGTCATTAGTTCAGTGCCAAGTAGATCAGCTGCAAGAGCTAGGTCTTACTAATACTATGACCTCGAGCAAGCTATTTGCTTCTAGGGGCCTCGTTTCTGCAGTGCAGGATGGAGGCCTGTTAATAGCGCCTGCCCCATGCGGGTGGGGAAAGTATGCATGAGCTGATGCAGGTGCAGCTGTGTGCAGAGTATGTTGTGAGTTCATATCAAGTTGTCAGCTTGCTAAAGAATGATACATATTAGGATGAATTAGGAACCTCATTAGAGGTTGATAAATTTCTATACTATAATACATTTTAGTTTGCTATTTAACATGATCAATCTCCAAAAAAAAAAATACTGACTGTATTCCAGGAAATTTTCAACTTCATTTGACAGTCAAATCTTTCTTTACATACAGAATAGCTCAGGTTCAAGGTTAAAAAAATCACAAAAGGGCTGGTCAAATAGCTCAGCTGATTAAAGCGCCTGCAAGCAGGTGCAGGGGCCAGAGGTTCGATCCTCAGGCCTGCTGTGCTGGCCCTGAACCCTGGGGCACTCTGAGACAGCAATGGAGACTGGGTGTGGTGGCACATGCCTGTAATCCCAACTCTTGGGGGGCTGTAAACAGGCAGATCACTACGAGTCCGATCTAGTAGTGAGCCCTGAACACCCTGTAAACCCTTCCCTAAAATACAAAAAAAAAAAAAAAAAAAATCACAAAATCTGCTTTAAATTTTCAATTTATTTTGATAAAATATAAGCAAAAGAGCAAGATGAATCTGTGTATCCAAGACTTACCTAGCTTAGAAGAAAAACCTGAGAAGGATACGATCCTTCAAATCTGGTGCCCTCACACCAACGCTAAGCAGGCAATTACAGACCGTGCTGTACAGCTCGGCTCATGGACAGCCACTTTCAAATAAGAAATGAATACTATAGTCAAATACTATGAGTGAGTTCATTTACTGCTAATCTCATAGGAGAAAAAAATAACATTGCCCAGATTATTAGAGACTTCATGATATCAAAACTCGTGCTTAGTAAGGTAGTAGACTGAGAGATCTGGTGGCAGACTTTGATGGAAAGAAGGCTGGCAAAGATATTTGGAGAGACATTGCACATTGGAGATGAGAGATTTCTTTGTTTGCGAAACAGATTGGATTATTGAACAGCACTTTGATTGCTTACCGAAGCTATGCAGGAACTTTCATTCTGTTGGGAAGTAAGTCAGAGTTAGTAGTTTGGTAAAATTGGGGCCACTGCTTGGGAGAGGATTTAAACAATTCTGACAGTGAGAGGTCTCCTCTGGGGCCTGTTAGAGTTTTTGATCTGTTTTCCATCTACCTCTAAAGATTCTTTGACTACAGGAAATGAGTCTAGATGATGTGCCACAGTTATTTAAGTGGATGAAGTACAAAGGAGATAATCACAGAACTGCAAATTCAATTGATTTACCTTCTACAGTCAGCAAATTGAATTTATACACTGATATCCCCAGGTTGCCTTTGAAACTACAGGTCCTGACCTCCCCAAATGAGATCCGTTATAATCAGCATTTTAAAAAGTAAGGTGTCCCTGTGACAAAGACAACTAGGTAAGCACCAAGTGTTCTTATTTGTCTCCCTAGGGTAGAGATGTTGATGGGGAAGTGGCTTTGGACCCAAAGACTTACTTTGCAAGG